CTTTATAGCATTTTTGAACTTGCGTGTTATTGGCACCAAAAGGCGGGTTCCACTCTGTTTAGGGCTAATCGGTTGCACGAAGCAGGTTGTAGCAAATTCGTGACCCTCAAGGTATGAGTATGACCCTAACGGTGTATGCCTGTCAAGTGTATTTTCGTGAAACCGTCAGCCGGCTGTCACCATGACCACTAATGTCGACGCCTCCGAGACAGCATCGCGTCAACAGGTGGAGCTAGGCGAATCGACACAGCAAATTTCGGAGTCTCGGTGTCAAGCTGAGATTCATGGTCAGCTCTATTTACGATTCTACTCCAAAGTGATTTTGAGGTTCGATGGGGGCCTCTCAGTATCCCAATATAGGATGTATATCTCATTTGGATAACTCAAGTTGCTAGCGAAAAGGATATTAATCCCTACAAATGAAGGCATCCTAGACGTCACTCAGCAATTTACACTAAAATAAGGACCCGTCTAGTATTCGTAGTCCTATATTGGGAGCAAGCATTGTTGGATGAAACAGGCTGCCCAAATGTATTGTGCTTTAAACTATTATAAGGAGTGGTTTATAAAGAATGGCGTTTATTCATATGGAACATGAAGAGCCAACAGCATCAGAGTTTCAAACGTGTACTGAAAAAAGTGTGCTTGCTAATGAGTACCGTTCAATGCCGTTTTGCTACTTAAATTATATGTGGTCTGTAGAGTATGTTATGGTAAGCGGGTAATCCGTGCAAACTGTGTGACTCTGAGCTTCGGTAAAACCGAGTACATGGATAGCTTCAAATACAGCGCATGGTGTTGGTTGCGCGAGAAAAGTGTACATTGGCTGCTTCCAAGAAATTTTACCTCAGAGGCCTATACATTCACTGTACTCCTGCCATGACAAGGAGTGAAACGAACGTATCAGAGGATGAGTACGAAGAAAACAAAACTGGACGAATATCCAACACAGAAACAGTGGAAACACACGCCTACATGCATATGTAGTCCTCCGTTCTGATGAAATGCACTTACTAGCAGTATACCCTAATTTTGCAGTCCCCTAAAATTTTTTAGAAAGACCAAAAGCTAACATAACTTGATGCGACGCTACTCTTGAGGATAACACATGCCACTCGAACGGGTTTACCTGCCTTTCACGCATCAACGTAAAAGGAATCAATTCTCGAACATCACTGTTAATGTGTGAAGGGACGGTCTGTCGCTTTAGGTGTGCCATAATTCATCGAATCACTTGATTCTCACAGGAATCCCACAAAAATATTAACTGGCTCCGCAAATTCAATAAATTTTCAATCGAGTAATCTCATTACAGTGAATAGTAAGCCTTCGCAACAATTCGGCTCGAAAGACTGCAGTGCTTAGTCACACATAACCAAGCAATAGGAAATTATATATTCTTAAAGGAACACTCACCATTAGGTCTCTGAGACCTCTCGGCTGGGATTCAGCTGAGTCTCCCATTGGGACCAAATCAGTTTGAAAACGTGTTTATTTTCTGATAAATTTACATCATTTATCAACGGATATATTCGCTGTAAGGGGATACCTTGGAAAAATGTCCGCATTGGCCAAAAGTGGAGCTGTCGCCGGCAGTCTTAGTTACCAAATATCAGTCGTATTCGATTTTCTAGCACAGTGTGATACATTTGGAAATTGTTCCAGCATATTCACTTTCAATAACCTCATACTTTTCACTCCTGATGAGTACACATCCCAAAACATCGTATTTTCACCGTTCTGATAATCACCACCTTGGGAGATTACAGTGCAACCCACACCAATGAGAAAAAGTTTATTTGCTGTGTCTACCATACCACATCCAGCTTGTTAGGAGTTTAGTTCAGTTACGTGTCCGTCACCATATTTTTTATCGTATCTAACAGAGATTGAGCGTGGTTTTATACTAATTACCTTTCGGCGGAACAGGTTTGCTTTTTGAGAAATATCTCGATCGGCAACTGCGACGACCACAGAAACTCGCTTTTGTTTCGCACACTGACTTTGGGTTATAATCTGACCCTACCTTTGATGTAACCAGAGAGATTAGATTATGTTCTTTAGGGAGTCATGCCATCAAGTGGCTTACAGCACTTTACAATTAACACTAATTATTTAGAACAAGTTCAAATGAAAAATGCTCGCGTCGAAGTTCGGACAACTTTGGTGGAAAAAAATTATTCTGTCTTTAAGGAGCTGGTTAAATTTGGAAGACCAAAAATGACAAGAAGCGACAGTTTTTGAAGCTCAACTGATTTAGTGGTTGGGGATGAACAGTCGGCATGTGTTGTGGATTTATGGAATAATATGCCTTGGCTTGCAGGATAATCCTAGCTGAATGCAAGATAGAAAATTAATGTCTCGATTAAACGCTGACCATCATCATCATCATCATCATCATCTTCATCATCATCATCATCATCATCATCGTCATCATCATCACCATTACCATCATCACCATCATTGACAGCATAACCTCAGTGGTAAACACTGATGCTTCGCTGCAGAGGATTACGCGAACCGATTAAGATACCGGACTTCGTTTTTGGTGTTGCTAAAACAATTAGGTGTCTGAAAACTGTGAATGCACGAAACCACATACAGACAAACAGGTTTGAAAGCCGCAAATACTCCCAATGCGAATGATTCACCAGTGCAATGCTGCAACATTCATGTCTTATTCCAACTCCTTGATACGACGAACACTTGACTGTCCAACTAACTGCTTGTGGAGTGCAAGAAAAGGTGTACAAGTTTAGAAAAACTAGGCTGCTTCTTATTGCAGAAGTAATTGGTATCTGTATTTTTGGGCCTACGCCTCGTGCACGGAAAGCTTTTTTCCAGACAATGAGACTCACGCGATTGGAATTTCATCTATCAGCCTCGCGTGACCGCAAATTTATACCAGTTTATCGGCTTTAACCACCAAATATCGATTTTGATCGGGTGGAAGCTTGCCCGAATTCGTGGTTGTCACATATATCTGACCCGGTTGAAGAGATATCGTGAATGTCGGCTTCGCCCGAACAGCCTTGTCCTCATTCTATCTTTGTAATACACGCCAAAATTAAGTCCCCCATTTAGTGTACTTGGTGTAAATGACATTTCTACTTTCGATTCTACCCCGAGTGGGTTTTTTTGCACCCAAAGGTTACCTGCCGAATTTGGACAATCTACACATTGCCCCTAACATGGTCCTGGTAACGGAAAGGTTGGGTTAACCAACCGTTTACTCACTACAAAAATAATATAAGCTACTTATTATGTGGCCATGTCATGTCGGTGATCCAGACGTTCCAAGTGGACTTAGGGAATGAAATGAGGTAGGACTAACCGGCTAGGATGCGGTTGCCAAATTCAAGTGAGCAGTCAGTAATGCGGCCGACTGTGTACAGAGAGCGTGTTGACTCGGAGTGACCACGGACTTGATGATCCTGGGCATGCAATGACAAAGAATGACCGATACCATGCCAAACTGATGAGTAGATCTTTAGCTCAACAGGTTCTGAATCAGATTGCTGGTTGAGGTAGTATATTGTCCGGACTGTAACGACCGTTTTGTTTTGGCAAGGAAGGAAATCACTTGGTTTGCGGTTAGTTTTTGCTTTATATGAATTGCAACGGGCAAATGGAAACAGTGAATAAATATCAACCAGTTGAGAGTCGTTAGTACATTGGTAATACATCTTTGCAATTAAGAGGTCAATAATGGAACACACATGGTCGTTGGATCGGTATATCACTTTCAGTTTATGTCTAAACGTTTGAGCAATGGTTCACGGGACCATTGTATATTGGTGACATGTTACTTGCCCTTGTGTTCGATTCGTCAGAGTGGGATGAGCCATTTGAACTTCGGATGGTTTTGTGATACAAAAACATACCAATGCGTCGGAACTATCAAAGTAAGTGGAGAGTAGAACATGTGTCACGTTTGCATTTATTCTCTCAGTGAAATAAAATCCAATATAAGGCCACAAAACGGCGATAAAATGAAACCGGTCCAACATAAAAGTGTGTAAGACGAAAATGACCAGTCGGTTTACAAATGGAAATTTCTGTTTGCGTGATAAATAACTGTGGTGAGTTTATTGCTTCCTGTTTGAGCACTGGACAAAATCCGGACAGAGCCGTACTACTGTTTAACAAAAATATCTATGTACTTGCAGCTGAGAAGCGAACAACTTCTTGGCAGAAGCTACTTTAACTATTACGAGTATACTAGTTTGACGGAAAAGTCATCTGATAGTATGGTTGGGTACCTTGATAGAACCACGACTAAAGTCCTTTTGAGCCCTGCCGCTGCCGCTGCCAGTGCTCAAAAGTTGGCTAAAAAGTACACAGTTTGCATTCATTTAAAGAAAAACATCGTAAACGGATGACCTGATGGGATCCATTTCAATTTCCTGTTACAACCAAGTGCATTTCGCGAATCCTAGGTCTAATCTGTTCATGTTTTGGGATGCAAAGTCCCAAAATATTCGTTCCAGTAAGCATCAAATTGACGTCTCTCGCGATCCAGCTATTGTAAAGAAAACTGGCCATTTGAACTCAGAAACTTGTTTAACCCGTGTCAATTTCCCTTGTTAACGCAGGGGACGAAGGCTCCACACAGTCCCAGGAAGGGCACTGTCTGTTCCAGTCGTGTAGCCAATTGGCTTTCACATATCCATAGCCGGCCAGTTTGTTCAGCTTCCTTTGTTCGCTTTCTTCCCCTTCACTGCTTTTCGTGATTGGCCAGTGGATAACGGGCACGGCATCGGATGCAGCGGTAGTCGAACGAGTGAAGACACATGTAGCGTGAATGCCGGACATGACACGAGCGCGGTGTGAGAATCATCAACATAGGGCCACGTACAAACAACAGCATATATCGCACCCTGGCTGATGTCGACCAATCAAACAGAAGAATGTTTGACAACTTGTAAGGGTTCTTGTCGTAGAATAGAGTCCAAATGACATTTGCTCCCACGTTTGAAAACGGAGAGGACCACTGATTAATGGATGCCCTGACTCCACCACAGTTGTCGGAGAAGGTATGTGTTTACTTATGTCGTATATTTGTTGCAATAGGACAAATCATCCCCACATTCGCGAATTAGTGTTATTTGTCCATTATATCAGTTTTAATAAGACAATCAAGTCGGTCTCGGCTGATAATGTCATTCATAATATTCTTCAGCTAAATGTGATTGTCACGATATTCGAGAAATCATACGGGTTTACATCAGCTAAGTAGTTTTTATCGCTTGTTCATCAGGTGAGAGTTGATCCGATCGCCGACCGTAGCATCTTACTTGCGACGAGCAGATCACCACCCAGTGAATATAATGCAACTGCAAATATTTAGTATATTGTCAAAGCTCCATCATCTGATCTCATGAGCGATTCAGCACAAATTCTGTTTGTCATTTATCACCCACTACATGCTAAGTCACCTATGATATTTTCCTGGGTGGGTAGTTGATGCTAGCGGAAAAAATCTGCTACACTGTGAGTAGATGCCTGAGATCACACAAAACATGACAGCAGCATGAAGCAACTTTGAAGAAAGTTCTGTGAATTAGTTCCTTGCAAGTCTATATAGAAGACCGTAGGAATGTAGCACCATCTATAGGTTTCATTCCCTGAGTGCCCGTTCTCGGCCCGTCCAGTCTAAAGTGTCAATAGAGATTTTTTACCATAAAAGGTTCTCAACGTTGTCTATTACGCAGAGCTTATCTAGTTATTGAGACACTCCGTTTATATTCACTGCCTGTGTTCTCTACTCTTAGGGTATCGCAGAAAGCTTGGTGTGTTTTCAACAGTTTCCCTCTGATAACAAAAGGAGATAGGCGGTATACTGAGACCTGAACAACCTCCTTGACTTATACACACCTCCCGGTTCAGGAACTTTTAAGCAGATGAGGAAAGTGTTGAACCCATGATACCAACCGTTTTCTACGCTTGAAACTCTTCCGACAACTGCTGCCCAGTATAACACACAACTATTATCTTGATAATTCTCCTAGGCTTTCGTGTATAGTAACTAGGGTCTGACTTAGCCCCAACTCAAAAAATTAGCGGCTACGCGTTTAGAAATATGACAAGCTACAGTTAGGATCATCTCGTGAAATCAAGTTTGACGAGAACGGTCTGCGGAAACTAGTGTTGGAGGAAGGGTTTGACAGGATGAAAACAACAGTAGAAAGAGACAGTCGAACAGGAAGAAATCCCCAGAAGGAATTTGATGAAAGCCTAAACAGTTTTACCTTTGTTAATGCAACTGTCATTCGGTGGCCTGTTCCGTTTTTTTTATCGCTTGAAATACAAATGAAAGATATGGCTGTAACTAAGTGATAGGTGTATCAAAAAACCACTAAGTTTCGTCTTCACTTGCTGTAGTGGCTCTGGCTTTCACATTAAGAGTGAAACTATATTTTGAGTTCCAATGCAAAATGGATCAAAACCCACCGTAACTTTTTCTATGCGTGGATTCATAAAGCAGGTGCAGGACTTCACCAAGCATTTTGTCGTTATCAGTTGAACTCATATTTCACTCGCCTCTTCAAAGACATTCAATCTTGTCTATTTCAGATTGATGCCAATCGTATGGAGATGTCCTCACCGAAGTTCTCTATAGCTTTTGCTGCTGAAAACCTTGCTCAAAGCCAGCCATCCACCCCTAGTTCAGTACACACAAGTCCACGGTCCTCAGCTTCACGAGAAGCTGTTTTCGAGCGCAGTCCACTGCGTCCAAAGTACGAGAAGAACCAAAAGTATTTTCCTCCTAGAACTCCCAATACTGATAGGAAATCACTCCCTGTGAATCGAGAATTGGCAGAGAAAAACGATAGACCATCCAGTGATGGTGTGCGCGGAACCCATTCATCAACAACGTTAGATATCGGGAATGACACGTCGTGCCCCACACACCCTCAGTTCACACAGAATGCCCTCCAACCTTCCCATTTTTCGGCGAATGCGATATCCGAGGCAGTGCCGGGGTGCAGTCCCCCTAGATTAACTCCACAACTGCACCCAAATGTTTTCGCCCCACCCCTTAGCGGAGTTCCAATGTCCCTGGGAATGGATGCTCGCTCGACTCTTGCGGCACTCTCAGCTGCCTACACTTCGCTAATTCGTGGTTCCACTGTGAATACAACGGATCGGATCACTTCAAACATATTGCATGCCAAACGACCACCCAGTCGTCCTCCATTTCCAATTGCACACATGAACTTCCAGCCACCAACAGTGTCTCCCTTAACGCAGAAAAGTGGATTGGATTGGCCGCCTACCAACATGACTAATCAAGAAGCACTTCCGAACGCAGTGGGCAATTTACTGTCTGTAAGTCAACCTGGTGTAGACTAATTATATAGCAGTGTCCTAATATGTATTCTAACAAGCCTGACACATGCGCATTTTTGACCGAATTTAACGCTCATCTTGACAGGAACACATTTCGAGATATTACTTGTATTTATAAATACGTGGCAGCTAATCCTTCTTGGGAAACTCAGCCCTTTTCGGTTCTTGAACACAACTCTTGAGTCCAGAAAGTCTGTTAGGATCATTGAAGTGGTTTGATGAAAGTGCTTCTAACTGCCCTAAATTTCACTGCTGCTCCAACCTGCCTGATTCTCACCGGTCCAATTTGGTACTTGAAATTCATCCCGTTTATCTCGATTGAACCCACCATGCAGGATCAGAAATAATGACTCATCTTTGAAGATTATGCCTAACTTAGCAGCTCCAAACAAGACGAAACAGATGGTGAACTCATGTCGATTCTAATCATATGTACCATACTACTTTCAAAGGAAAATGTTGAGCCAAATGAATCCTCAGACAAACTTTACCAAGCGCGCATCTCAGATGTTTAAACCTCCTGTTTACGAGCACTTACTGGGAGTTTTTTGGTTTTATATACATACATGTAATGTATAGAAGGCGCGGTAATGTGAACAGACGCAAATAAAATCCTCGTTAACAGCGCTCGGATAGCATTCTTGAGGGTACTGTGATTGAATCTGGTATATGTATTGCCATGGCTACACAGTCCTCAGGATGTCCTTCACTGGGTTGAAATCCTGTCACATGCTTCTGAATTGCGGATCGACGGATATTCGTTGAAGAATAATTCAGAAGACGAGGTACTGTTCATTGACTTGAATGAACCTCTTAAAATCAGTTGCCATGCCTGATCTGTTTGACCAACTCTTTACATCTGTCTGATGCTTAGCCCACGACAGCTTAGTAAAAACCGCGATTCGGAAAGAGGGAGAACTAGGGTTGATAGGTGTTTTTAAGCAAAAGGCACAACAAAATGAATTTGTGTGCTTGTGTAATTTAACTAAGAAAGTGTTGTTCACAGTGCGCAACTGAATATTACCTCCTCAACATAACTAGTCAAAAATGGGAGTATCCAAACTCAGGTTTCGCATGCTGAAACTGCCTTGTATGCATACCAACAAACCAGCAGCGCTTCACTGGTACCTGATCAACAGTGAAAGTGGATAATTATGTGTCAGTAGTTATTTAAGCTTTAGTTAAGCTTTCCTAAAAGTTGCATGACGGTCTAACCACAAATCTTGGCTGGTAGACCAACGACTTACTGGTCGGAAATGAATGAAAACTGCTCCTAAGAAAAAACGCTATTTACCGTTGCTAAAGGTATTTTCAAGAAATCGTTTCGTTTTCTCCATTTATTACTCCATTGGTTTCTTCACCAACGAACTTGCATATAAGCTTATCTTCTGAATAGTTTGAGTTATGAAACACTGAACAGTGTGAGCAGTGTTCTTACGAAAAGTGTCATGAGTCCGAAAATGCCGAATATTTGTTGGTAGAGAGATTATCAACCGCTTCTTGAAGTATTAAAATATCTTAAATACACAGTGCGTGAAAAAAGGGACAAAAACATGGAGCTCTGGTTTTCTATGCGGATTTTGTCCAGTTGAACTTCTGCGAATGATGCCTAAATGCACATTTAAACACTCAGTATTTACGTAACCACCCAGTGGAATAAACACTGGATTGCTGGCCCACTGATTTAATTTAAATCACTGCCACCGGGTGTCTCGAGTTCCTTGCAAATGCTTAAATTTGGGTGCCTTCAGCCTTCAGATGGTATTTCATCAGGAGAAATGGGTGTCGTTTTTCAGATTCCATCGTTTGTCGTTTCCCAAAAGTTCACCCACCAAGGGGTAATAGCCTCAAGAAGCAAACGATTACTCCACTATCCTTTTTATTGTACCATAACATGACTACTATTTCGCTTCCCGAACGGTGAACATCAAAATCCACGGATCCTGTCTTCAGTGATTAAACACCCTTGTTAGTTCCAGTTGGATATTAGCATAGCAGCAAAATATCTCCAAACTTCATCAGTCTGATATTGTCTAGCTTAACTTGCTTCCCGGTGTGCCACCCAAATTTCTCCATAAATACAGCCAAACACCTCGAGTTCCATTAATGTTCAGCGAACAACCCATATATCCAAGACCACATTTGCTTTTTAAGAAGGCAATTAATGTACAAAGCAAAGACACCAACGCCGTTTGAGTACACCTTAGGAAAATTCATCCCTTTTTGGTCAAAGTTACAGCGTTTACTTTCGATGAACACCTTGGTTTGGTTCACTCCATAATTGATACTTTTCACACGATTCATTCGTAATTGTTCACTAATAACCACTTTCTTCTGACCAATTGACGCCACTGCGCTTTCCGAGGTAACGCCACCACCTGATTTTCACCGTTTGGTTTCTCCTGATCTCCTCAAGTTATAAGTTGACATTCTCTGCCCTCATTGCGTGCTTACCGACGATTTGCTCGGATCCTGTGACAAGACCATAACGCGATTAATTTAATCCAGATCCAGTCCTAGTTGGATAAAACACAGGAAATTATGGTGTATTTAAAGATTTAGCATGAGAGAGTGTAGATTCGGTCGTCTGAACGAACAGGGTGAATGAAATAAGAATGAGCTGGGGACCGCTAATCCTCGAGAAGCTCGTCATTTCATGCAAGCTAACTTTCTCCCTCAGTGAATTTATGTGTTGTGTGCCTTTGTGTCACGAATTTAATCATGGTCGAATTCCATTCACTTTTACGCAGGAGAATCTGGACTCTTGGCAACAATTTCAGCAAGCAGCTTATGCGAACAACTTGGACCCGCATCTTCTAGCTCTTTGTGGAGGTACTGGGTATGTTAGTCATTGCATTTAGCGTATCTCAAATGTAATCAGTTATTTCAAGTGAAGTTCTGTGTGCACTGGTTTGAGCTATGTGGGACGATTATTTAAAATTCTCAGTTTCCTTCTGTTTACAGTATCCAGAGGCTTAGAAGCGAGTCTCTGACTTGGACAATCATTTGGTTAAATGTCCCCACTTAAGCTTTTGCGCATGATTAGACTTCCAGTTCGAAGATGTTCAGTCTTGCTAGGTGTCTTCGCAACACGGTCTCGTGGGAGTACGTGTGCTGTGAGGAAGAATAACAGTGTGCCAGTGACTACTTCCTCGAATCTCCAGCTTAAATAGTTTTAGCATTACCTTAGCTCAGTGTTCTGTTACGGCCTTTGTTGCCACCAAGCAGAGCAATTTACTTTAAGGACGAATAGCAGAAAAACATCACAACACTTTAGAAAGTGCCTATCTAATGCCGACAGAGACAGCAAGCTATCAGGCCACCTTTAGTTGATTCTCCATTGGTCTGGTGCCTTCTGTGTTTAGTTGTTATGTGCATACCAATCATGAAAGTGACTGACCAATATACTTGAGGTTTGTCCTTCTGAGTCCACTCAAATTATCTTTAAGTGACCGAAGCAAAAAGGGTCTTTCATGCAAGCGGGCTTCTACCCAGTGTATTTATTCCAGAGCTAGGCGTCTGTTAAAATAGGTTATCAAACAATATGTCAACCATAAGCCTAGTGCAAACTGGTGGTTGGACATTGGTTTGTGAAGAGTTTGTTTGCTGTTATTTTGAATGCAAAATGAGCCCGTTTACCTAGTGTTAGCACTTACTTGAAAAACAGACAACCTGGGATGTCGTGGCCTGGACGATTAAGTCCAAGTTGTGACGAATGGCGGAGACTGTGTGTACCTACCTGACTAGCTAGTGACAACTGTGATGTCTGTTTGTCGTATTTGGGAGGTTGGGGAGTTCTGAAAAAATTAGGGTCCCGCTCAATTAGAAGGACATATTTGCGATGTCTAAGCGTTAACAAGTCACGCAAGCTGTAAAATTCTTGTTGTTATACCCCAATCTTGACTCATGTTGTTTCTCTTTGGTGCGCTCCGTAAATACTTTGCAGATGCGCATTCGAGCTTTCTGGGAACAGCCGTCGAAAGAATGCTACACGTGAGACAACCAGTATGCTAAAGGCCTGGTTGAACGAGCACCGTAAGAATCCATATCCAACGAAGGGTGAAAAGATTATGCTGGCCATTGTGACGAAAATGAGTTTGACACAAGTCTCCACCTGGTTTGCGAATGCTCGACGACGTCTTAAAAAGGAAAGCAAAATAACTTGGGGTGTGCGCACAACTGCACCGGATAGTGATCCGGATGAAGACTCCAATATAGACGATGATGATACAATGGATGCTGGAGAACTGGAGCAGCTTTCCAGGATAACTAACCGGACATTCGTGCGCAATACTCATGCAGGTGAAAAGCGAACAATTACTGAGAGTGGCTTAAAAGCGCCTGCATTTGTCAAACACAAGTCATTTGGTAACAATGTAAGCGTAACCTCGGAAGAACATCAAGGCATAAACCTTTCATCTTGCTTTTCGGGCCAAATAAACGAGGAACCGCCTTTCAAGCGGCATCTAAAAGAAACGAAACTTGAATCCGGAAGTGACTCAGAGTGCAGATTCAGGAATTTGAACAACGGTCCGGCGCCACAGAATAAAATCTGGTCTCTTGTTGATTTGGCTCATGATCGGCGCGCCTACGTGTCCGAAGGTAAATCAACAAATGTCACCAGTCCCATCGATAATACTTTACACCCTTGGCTGAATCATCATTTCACACCAGAGAGGTGGCTCGCTGCACTCGGCTGTGACCGCTCCAGTGAGGCAATTCAGTGGGTATCCACCGGTTCCCATGGCAACGGTAGCTACCCAACAAGTCAAAAAACAAAGACGGATGGAAACCACGTCTCGGTGACAAGGTTGGGACGGAAGCAAGGACTCGATGAATCTCCAAATATAAGAGACAGTGCGCCGAAACTTCCTCATGACCCTCATTCACATGCCACAATACGTGACAACCCCTTCTTATCTCCTTCGGCACTCGCAGCGTTCTATCTCTACATGCAACAAAATCATTCATTACTCCACTCTCATACTGGTTCCGACTCAATCCACCACTACCCGAATCCCCGACAGAAAAACGAACTTTCTTCAGATCCTGGGGATCCGCTTCGGACTGAAAGTGAAGTGGCTACTGAAAAATACCGGTCACCTGATCAAACAAACACACGCACGGCGACAGTGAAGCGTGATTCCCAATGGCCAATACCGACAGCAGCTCATCAAACCAGTAGCTCTGTCAAGTGATGAATGTGAGTTTGTAAATTCTCAAAAGCCGGTAGCGTGTGTTCTAATACATGGAGGATTTTGGTAATTCTTGATGGAATGTCACCACTACGTTCCCCAATAAGGCACTGATGATGTCACCTCGATTGGTGATGAAACGTTTGCAATCAAATTGTCCAGCTCAGCGAACAAGCCAACGACCATTCCGGAAGTTTCTGAAGTAGGGCCGAGCCAAACAATACATCGTGCCCATTGCTGGTTCATGTTTTTGAACCACATAAATTTTTCGACTAATGGATTTCACTTTTAAAGGGATATAAAAATAACACCGAGCAAAATAGCAGAGGAACTGAGTTGTTTAAAGGTGAAAAACTTTATTCTGGACCAGTAGTCGAACGGAGTCGGTGGCAGCTAATTCTATCCTGGACCTGCTGAAGTCTCAGGATAAGTAAATTCTCCATCCTTATGTCCAGAAACAACTTGTGGCATGATATTAGACACATAAAGACAGAAACTTACCAGGCTAAAATTTCGCTTTCCTCCTTTCGAAGGTAGCGGTTTTCTGGTAAATCCTGTGTTCCCTTGTCATCATCCATCTTGCCCTTTAAACAGCCATCATATGACATTGACGATGCTTCTCACTGAAGCCCATTTAGGCTAAAATTCTAGGAGAAAATGGAACGAAGTAGCCATTATTGCTAATGAGTATGAGCTTGGAAACTCTTCTATGGAATCGGAGGATAGATTGACTGGTAGACATTTGGAAGTCAATATACGGTGGGAGTGACTGACCATGCCTAAGTTGACTCATGGAATTTTATATTTATCATGATCCTTCCAAGATAAGCCCTCCTTTTCTCTGGGGAGATGGAACCCGCTCACCGAACAGTGGCCGGCGGAGGAACTTGTTGTAGCACTTACGTGAGTATCCTGTTCTTTTAGGGGTTTCTATTCGACAAATAAATTGACAGAAAAGTCTAAGCATAGTACTCTGCTATGAAACAGTAGTAATTTAGAGCATTTTCAATTCCTCTTTACATGGGCAACTTTTGCGCCAGGAAAAGCGCTTTGTAAAAAATTTCACAAACACGATTTAAAAACGCTCCGTTCCGTTCAGAATCCGTATAATATGGCAAGACACCTTGTTCGTTCATGCAAAACGCTTTCGGAGGCAACGCAGTTTAAAAAGTAGGCCGTTTTTAAAACTGTGGTTAGTAAGGCTACTGGAGGTTGAGCATGTTGTTTGGTTTGACCAGATAGCATAGGCGTATGCTCGTTCTCAAAGTTTGCATTGTCTGAATGAATGCAGGCGCCTACTGAGCAACATCGTGAACGGTACGGTATGTTTCTGAGAACAGGGCTTGTAGTATTTTTGCTCCCTAATCTCATAATTTCTTGTTCTCCACAGAACGAGGCCCATACGGTGCACCGCAGTCAGTTCGTAATACAACCTTTATTATTTCTGCTTTGCAGCGCCAAATTTACCCAACGATGATTCAGAGCCGACACAAGTGGATGTTTCGTATATGGATGATCTATCACAAAGACTGTTATCTCGCACATTCCGTTACAAAAGAAGAAAATCTACATTTACCTTGTTTCTCCCCGATTTTCAGGTTTTTCTCTTGTACAAGGTCCCACTCACTGGAATTTTATTTTTCTGTATATAAATCATGCTCACTTACGGACTCATTCTACATTGCTGAAAATTACCACAAAGGACTATCCCTATATCGTCCCTCATATGGCGCCTTCACTCGAACGGAGCCAACTTCGAGGAATTTTCGAAAATCTTTCCTCTACAAACAAGTATCGGCCAAGGGTTGGTCTGTGTCGAATTTACTGGGAACAGAAGAGAGTCTTGTTCCTGGGCTGGTCACGAGGATCAAATCTTCTTACCCTTGGTAGCGTTGGTAGTGTAGGTTTTGACAACACACGAACCTCGGAGCCTGCATGATTCGACTTCGCTAAACCGAAGTTGATCATACTTGCCTACTCAAACTTGATTTCACACACATGGACACTATGCAAGTTTCGCCAAGTGAGACGGCGGCCTGATAATAAACCATCAATGTATCGGAGATTGAGTGCGCTAGGTTGTAACAGAATTTCAAACGTAGCAGACTGCAAACGTTTTATGTGCTCATAGATATAAGAATGGTTGCAGGTCCTCCGCTGAATTTCACGTGTACCGATCAATTGCCTATCCTTAACTGCCCTTAGGTGCTGTTTTTTGTAGCTGAAATCTTTTATTCCCTTCTTGTCTTATCACACAATCCAGAAATCGCTTTGTTTGTTCTGTGATGCCAGATTAGTTCATTTTCACCCTGGGGAGCCGACATTGGGAATGACGACTTGTCCCCTCATTCAATTTAATTCATTACTGGCGAGGGGTGAGTAGTGGGGATATTCTCCACCCGTCCCCACTCATTAAACAAACAATCTATGAGGATCGGCGGATACACTCATTTGCAAATCAATCTGGTTTTCACTGGAGACCCAACTGAATTTCTCGTATATGCTGTTCATGAGGATGTTTTCGAAAGCTTTTGTCAAGGTATGGTGACACCCTTAGTTCTGATCAGGACAACTATTCTAGTTACTCAGTTCTGTCTTATGCTCCAAGTTCAGTCAATCCGATTTTACTGTTCCGAGTTTCTACATGCTTATAAGTTGTTTCCTGTTACTGCAATTGAATGCTGGCGTGGACGGAAAGGCCATTTATGTATTCAACTAGAAGTTGGCCTATGCCGGAGATACTGCGGTTGTTTGGGCTGGACAATCCCAGATTCTAGGTGGAAACCCACCTATCGATGTACCCACGCTTTCTCGAATGATCCCATTTTTTATGAAAAACCTTATTGCAGAAATTTCTACGTCCATTTGTGCAGAGTCATGTAATTGAATGTGTGGGATAAATAAAAATTCTATGTTATTGTACAATCGATATGACGCATACGTAGAGAAGCTGTAATGAACTGAGGGTACGCAAATCCCTCATTTATCTTCATGTCAATTTATGTGGCAGAAGGATATAAAAACACTTGTAATGTTGGTTTTCAACAATGTAGGTCGGTATTTTTAGTTCAACTGTGATGAGTTTGACCGTAGTGCCAGTTAATGTACATCTGCCGTAATTTGGGCCCACTAACCAGATCGATCCTAAAAATGGTTGTTTCGAATCTGGTGGTGGGTAAAATATACTTGGCAAAATAGCCAAAGGGGTGCAGAGTAAAAGAAAAAAAGTTGGTGATTTATATGGGGAAAATAAAAATTGGGAAGGGTGAGGACTTTGGAGTCAATGAAAATAGAAATATTTCTTGGAATAACAGTAAGTTTATGATATGTCAACTGTATGTTTCAATGCCAAAAAGTGCGTATTTTTGGAGATGTGTCGGTGGTTGACCAGGTGGCCGCCGAACTCAACAACTGACTTGCAGAAGCTTTATCATCATCCGAGGGGTCATTGTATGTGCCATTTGATGATATGATATCCCACTATGTTATCGATTGAAGTCAAATGTCTTTGTGTCACAATCACGTTATTCTGAATAGAGGAGGATGTATTTAGTAAAGTGTGCCATTATAAGGTGAACACGAAAAATGCATGACCACAATTGTTTGGCGATATCGCATCAAGAAAATTTAATATTTTATTCTTTCTATCCCCTCTTCATGTGTAGTTCACCAACTTGCTTTAGGGTAGCAAGATACTGAAGACTCTTTTAGCCATCGCAATGGCTATCAGTTGGTATTTTACTGGGTACCATTTTCTCCCGCACGCTTCTAAGAAATTCGTAATACTTGAGTTGGCAATGAGTCAAAACATTGGTGGCTCGGATGCATTTATTCGTCGTTTATCAAGTAGCTTTTGACCTGTTCGCACGAGCTGGGAAAATAGCTTGCAAGCGTTTCGTCGCCATACGGAAAGACACCATCAGTGCGCAGAGCACCCAAATGTGTTCTGATGATATCTCCCCGTTCGGTGACGAAGCTTCGGCAGTTTAATTGCCAGGCTGGGTAAACATAGCAACCAACACCTGATCAAAAGCCTATTCTTGAGTTCTCCAATTTGTCTACGTGTATGGATGCAGCACAAAGATCTTTATTTACTCATTATACAGTACTGAAGTATTTTTTTCAACTTCCAATATCATTATTTATTTTATATTTATAATGCATTTGAACTCAACTGACCTTGAAAACAATCACCCGACTTAGATTATTCAATGAAATTAATGACGTCCGTTGAATACATATCTTCAATCATTTTTCCTTCAATGGAACAAAACATCAAACAAATTAACATCGCTCCTCTGTGTGTGAAGATTTCCCTCTTCCGACTGCAACGAAAAAATCGCTTGCTAGCCCACAAACAACCGGACGAATTTGACGTTGCACCTCCGATAGAATGGGACAAAACAACACTCAGACCAGGTTCGACAATCAACACGCAGAATAAAGTCAGCATGGTTCGCGAAAATCTGTCGTGTAAACCACACTGTAAAACACAAATCTGTACGCGCACCTCGTCGTCTGAACGAATCGGACAGGGAAGAGCTAGGTTTTGCGAATATTTTCAGTCAAGCAAGCTATAACATGGTCCTTCAATCCGTCCATAATTGTTATCACTGACACCGGATGTAAACAGCAGTGGAATGGACTCTTGGTTAGGATAAATCTGTTTCTCTCTCTGTATACCCGACTGCCCGTGTGTATGTATGATGGACAGAATCCGTTAAACAAAAGTGAAGTGATGAACAGCGTGTATTCATGTGCTTGAGGAAGGGTGGGGAAAAGTGATATACAAAATAATTATTGTTCTTGCAATGAAGTGGACGTTCCCGACAAGGAAATGGGACAGGTTGAGGCTTTATCAGTCCCTGAAAATCTGGTTTACCAGGTAGACAGTGATTTTGTGTTCCACTTGAAATCCTGACCGCAGGGAGACCAGTCCAATGTCAGTCCTACTTGAAACTCAACTTATGGGTGTGTTCTGGTCCACTATGGCCCGGAAGAGATGCAAGTAAAGAGGACGAGCAAGTTGTTCACGTTTAGCGACATAGTTTCTTGACACCGATCTACTAAAGCAGTAGGCTCAATTCAAATTTATTTGTACTTCTATAAATTGGCGTGAATTGGGTGGGTAGCAATGCAGTTAGGAAACACGGATACTGTAGGGTCAAGTCTCCGGAAAACACGTCATTTCAAAAGTTTCTCCCCACGAAATTTTTCACACGGATCTCACTCTAAGTGCATGGTTGTTCAGTTGCAGTGGGATTCATAACAGCTACAAGTACGGACAATTACAAGGATCATGAAATCAAGTTAACCCTCCGAAGACAGAATCCATCATTGAGGAAAGATTTACTTATATTATTACCGTACAAAACTCACTTCTAAACGATATATTGAAAGTTCAATAACTTTGGGCTTATCATTAATGTGATGGTCCGGTGGGCGGGGCAGTGTGTAACGTGTTGGTTTATACACAGTCCTCCTTCTTAAACGTCAATTTTAGAGGCGAATTGACCAGATTTCGGAATTTTTAAGGGCGATTTCATCATGCAAGTGATGTTGATTCCCGCTAAGGATGGAAATTCCTTACAGTGCATCTGGGCTTCTCAACATGGTTTACCTACACTTACAGGATGAAATATCTTTTATATGGATGAATCCACGCTTGCCATGAAAACGGTTCCAGTAAATAGTGATTACTTTTGCTTTCAAGCAGTGGGGATTACTTAAACTGCGGTGACCGTGGCTCCTTACTATGGTTTATGGACTGTTTTCAAAGTTTCTTCCTTTCTTCGAGTCAGTGTACTAGGCCACTCGATGTCCTGTATTTCATGCACTTCCAACGTTTTTAGATACTCAGCCTGCCCAGCGATGCTGTCTAAGTGATGACTGGGCTAAGAGAACATTCTGTTCAAATAACTACCTACTAACCGGCAGCCGATGAATATGTAAGCAGCAAACAACACTGCTCACTAAGGAGGTGGCCACCAACTATCTTCCGAATGGATTTCATTATAAATTAACGTCAATCTTCATGGCCACACTGATATCGCGCTTGAATCCAGGCCCTCGTTCATGTAAGTCTGACCTAGGAATCATCAGTGACTCTTCAGGTGTGGTTAAATGGTTACGTGATATCCAAGCAGGCGGAAATAGTGCATGCTTGCCCGGCGTGCACTGTACTCTTTTTAACCGTGAAGCTTATATAAACCCATTTGTTTATATGTTCAGTTTGATATAGAATAAACAATTCAAACATGCGGTCCCTACTTAATACTTAAGCTCATTGTCAGCTTCGCAAAAACGGTCAACCAAATTCGTCTGGAGCTTGTGTACAAGGAGCTAGTTTCGAAAGCTTGAAGAGCTCGGAAGATAGTTAGTCACTTGAAGAAGAATTGCGGTGTACAAAACACCCATGTGCATTCTTGTTTATTCTCATCACAACTATACCGTTACATAGCTACTTGACGGAACTGTAATAGCAATGTAGTAATATTATCTAAAGGGGACATTCCTCATTCTATGGAACCAACTCGCGAACGGAATGCTGTCAATCTAGGTGAAACAAGCTCTTTTATTTCACTTTTAAAATAAGTTT